GAACTCTCTACCACCCACACACTGTTTCCTATATCATATAACGTCTATAGTTCGTATATACCAGGAACTCTCTACCACCCACACACTGTTTCCCTATATCATATAACGTCTATAGTTCGTATATACCAGGAACTCTCTACCACCCACAACACTGTTTCCTATATCATATAACTATAGTTCGTATATACCAGGAACTCTACCACCCACCACTGTTTCCCTATATCATATAACGTCAATAGTTCGTATATACCAGAACTCTCTACCACCCACACACTGTTTCCCTATATCATATAACGTCAATAGTTCGTATATACCTGAACTCTCTACCACCCACCCACTGTTTCCTGTATCATATAACGTCTATAGTCTGTATATACCAGAACCTCTACCACCCACACACTGTTTCCTATATCATATAACGTCAATAGTTCATATACCAGAACTCTCTACCACCCACTGTTTCCCTATATCATATAACGTCAATAGTTCGTATATACCAGGAACCTCTACCACCCACACACTGTTTCCCTATATCATATAACGTCAATAGTCTGTATATACCTGGAACTCTCTACCACCCACACACACTGTTTCCCTTGTATCATATAACGTCTATAGTTCGTATATACCAGGAACTCTCTCCACCCACCCACTGTTTCCTATATCATATAACGTCAATAGTCTGTATATACCAGAACTCTCTACCACCCACACACTGTTTCCTATATCATAACGTCAATAGTTCGTATATACCTGGAACTCTCTACCACCCACCCACTGTTTCCTATATCATATAACGTCTATAGTTCGTATACCAGGAACTCTTCACCACCCACACACTGTTTCCCTCATATCATATAACGTCATAGTTCGTATATACCAGAACTCTCACCACCCACACACTGTTTCTGTATCATATAACGTCAATAGTTCGTATATACCAGGAACTCTCTACCACCACACACTGTTTCCCATATCATATAACGTCATAGTTCGTATATACCGAACTCTCTACCACCCACACACTGTTTCCCTATATCATATAACGTCTATAGTTCGTATATACCAGGAACTCTCACCACCCACACACACTGTCCCTATATCATATAACGTCAATAGTTGTATATACCAGAACTCTCTACCACCCACACACTGTTTCCCTATATCATATAACGTCTATAGTCCGTATATACCAGAAACTCTCTACCACCCACACACTGTTTCCCTATATCATATAACGTCAATAGTTCGTATATACCAGGAACCTCTACCACCCACACTGTTTCCATATATAACGTCAATAGTGATATACCAGGAACTCTCTACCACCCACACACTGTTTCCTGTATCATATAACGTCATTTCGTATATACGAACTCTCATTTTCCTAACGCATAGTATCAGAACTCTACCACACACTGTTTCCCTATATCATATAACGTCTATAGTTCGTATATACCAGAACTCTCTACCACCCACAGTTTCCCTATATCATATAACGTCAATAGTTCGTATATACAGGAACTCTACCACCCACTGTTTCCTATATCATATAACGTCATAGTTGTATATACCAGAACTTCTACCACCAACTGTTCCCTATATCATATAACGTCAATAGTTCTATAACAGGAACTCTCTACCACCCACACACTGTTCCTATATCATATAACGTCAATAGTTCGTATATACCAGAACTCTCTACCACCACCACACACTGTTTCCTATATCATATAACGTCAATAGTTCGTATATACCAGAACTCTCACCACCCACACACTGTTTCCCTATATCATATAACGTCAATAGTTCGTATATACCAGGAACTCTCTACCACCCACCACTGTTTCCTATATCATATAACGTCAATAGTCGTATATACCAGAACCTCTACCACCCACACACTGTTTCCTGTATCATATAACGTCAATAGTTCGTATATACCAGAACTCTACCACCCACACTGTTTCTGATCATATAACGTCAATAGTTCGTATACCGAACTCACACCCACACACTGTTCCCTATATCATATAACGTCAATAGTTCGTATATACCGGAACCTCACCACCACCCACTGTTTCCTGTATCATATAACGTCAATAGTTCATATACCAGGAACTCTCTACCACCCACACACTGTTTCCTGTATCATATAACGTCTATAGTCCGTATATACCAGAACTCTCTACCACCCACACACTGTTTCCTGTATCATATAACGTCAATAGTTCGTATATACCAGGTTCTACCACCCACACTGTTTCCTATATCATATAACGTCAATAGTTCGTATATACCTGAACTCTACCACCCACCACACTGTTTCCTGTATCATATAACGTCAATAGTTCGTATATACCAGAACTCTCACCACCCAACACTGTTTCCTATATCATATAACGTCAATAGTTCGTATATACCTGGAACTCTACCACCCACACACTGTTTCCTGTATCATATAACGTCAATAGTTCGTATATACCAGGAACTCTACCACCCACACACTGTTTCTAATCATATAACGTCAATAGTTCGTATATACCAGGAACCTCTACCACCCACACACACTGTTTCCTATATCATATAACGTCAATAGTTCGTATATACCAGGAACTCTACCACCCACACACTGTTTCCATAATCATATAGTATAGTTCGTATATACCGAAACCTCTACCACCCACACACTGTTTCTGTATCATATAACGTCAATAGTTCGTATATACCAGAACTCTCTACCCACACACACTGTTTCTATATCATATAACGTCAATAGTTCGTATATACCAGAACTCTCTACCACCCACACACTGTTTCTATATCATATAACGTCAATAGTTCGTATATACCAGAACTCTTACCACCCACACACTGTTTCTATATCATAACGTCAATAGTTCATATACCAGGAACTCTCTACCACCCACACACTGTTTCGTATCATATAACGTCAATAGTTCGTTATATACCAGAACTCTCTACCACCCACACACTGTTTCCTATATCATATAACGTCAATAGTTCGTATATAGAACTTCCACCACCACTGTTTCATATATAACGTCAATAGTCGTATATACAGAACTCTTACCACCCCACACTGTTTCCCATATCATATAACGTCAATAGTTCGTATATACCAGAACTTCTACCACCCACACACTGTTTCCTATATCATATAACGTCAATAGTTCGTATATACCAGAACTTCTTACCACCCACACACTGTTTCCTGTATCACATTATAACCTTCGCAGTTGGTTTACATCTCACAGGGTTTGGTAAGTGAATTCCTGCCAGAGTTTGTTGCCTGTAGTCTCCAACAGTTCTTTAGCCATATTCTCCTTTAGTGGACTATCTATCTGCCTTAGTTGGTTAGTTTTAGTTAGTGTTAGTTAGGTTAGTGTTAGGTTAGGTTAGTGTTAGGTTAGGTTAGTGTTGGTTGAAGTTAGTGTTAGGTTAGGTTAGTGTTTTGTTAGTGTTAGATTAGGTTAGTGCAGGTTAGGTTAGTGTTAGGTTAGGTTAGTGTTAGGTTAGTTAGTGTTAGTTAGGTTAGTGTTTTGTTAGTGTTAGATTAGGTTAGTGTTAGATTAGTGTTAGGTGCAGCTAGGTTATCGTCAGTATTAGGTTAGGTTTGTGTTAAATTTGGTTAGTTTAGCATTAGGTTAGCGTTAGGTTAGGTTAGCATTAGGTTAGGTTCAGTAAGGTTAGCGTTATCGTTAGTATTACATTAGTTTAGTGTTAGGTTAGTGTTAGTGTGATTAATATTAAGATGAAATAACCTGGGGTGCCTAATCTTCACATGATCCAAGGGTATGTAGCAATAGGCCTACCCTCAGCCTCCCTCACCACCTGTAAGGGATCAAATGACGGCTTGGAATCCACCTGTTGATGAGGTTATAATTGGGTTTAGTTATTAACAATAGGATTATTAATTGAAAGTAGATGTGTCTCAACCCCAGATAGACTAAGTAGACTTCTCTCTCTCAACCCCAGATAGACTAAGTAGACTTCTCTCTCAACCCCAGATAGACTAAATAGACTTCTCTCTCTCAACCCCAGATAGACTAAATAGACTTCTCTCTCTCAACCCCAGATAGACTAAGTAGACTTCTCTCTCTCAACCCCAGATAGACTAAATAGACTTCTCTCTCTCTCAACCCCAGATAGAATGTAAATAGATAAGTCTCTACACTCTCCAGCGAGGGTTAGGTTAAGCTGACAGGTAACACTTGATACCTGTGTGTGGTGGCCTCACGTGCTGGCGTCTGTGGTCCGGCTGTGTTGATGTTGCGCTGAGATCCTGTGGTGCACACGGGGGTTTCCTGTAACCTGACACTACCGGGGGCTGGTGGGTTGGTGGGCAGGTGGGTGGGTAAACGGGACCGCCTTCACTTGTAATCTATCGCTTGGGAGTCCTGTTGTCCAAGTCTAGATATAGTAGTCTTTTTTAATGATATATTTCGAGTCTTTAAATCTGTCTATATCACCAATAATTCCGGGTCTTACTGTCATACCTATACTTGGTTTATCACCTTTATTTCACCTTTACAATATAGCAATTAAATTACTATGTAAATAATGGTATATAGTTGTATCTGTGTTGCACCTGTAAGATAACTTTCTCTATGTAATCTAAGTTAGAATGTTATCGACTTAAAGATAACAGGTGTAGATTGTCGCCACGTTAATTAAAGGTAAACTATACATTACTGTCTTAGTATTCAGTCTGTGTATGCAAATTACTCCGTCTGTTTGTATTCATGTTTGGTGGGGGGGAATAAACTCCTCTTAAATGTTGGAACTTTTTGGAGTTGGTTGTCTGAATTTTCGTTACAGGTTCGTCAAGTTGTTTTTATTTTAGTGAACTTTATAATGAACTTTCTAGTGAAGCTTTTAGTGAGAACCTTTTAGTGAACCTTCTAGTGAACCTTATTCTAAAAGGGAACCATCTGTTGGGCCTTCTGGTAGACAATATAGTGAACCCAGCCTAGTAGGCTTCCCGTGAGCCTGCTAGTGAACCTTCTAGTGAGCCTGCTAGTGAACCTTCTAGTGAACCTGCTAGTGAACCTTCTAGTGAACCTGCTAGTGAACCTTCTAGTGAACCTGCTAGTGAACCTTCTAGTGAACCTGCTAGTGAACCTTCTAGTGAACCTGCTAGTGAACCTTCTAGTGAGCCTGCTAGTGAACCTTCTAGTGAGCCTGCTAGTGAACCTTCTAGTGAGCCTGCTAGTGAACCTTCTAGGGAACCTGCTAGTGAACCTTCTAGTCCTCCAGCTCTGGCAGTGTGCCCTATAAGTGGTTGACGTAAGTTGGCTTCGGGACCATTTTTCGCCTGATCGTCTGCTGTTTAGTTGGCCTCAGATCTTTATTCTTGATCCTCGCGTCTGTTGTTATGGTGTCTTGTGAGCCAGGGATTGTGTCGTGAGGGGTGACAGATCCGTCTATGTTCGTCTGGGGGGTGACAGATCCGTCTATGTTCGTCTGGGGGGTGACAGATCCGTCTATGTTCGTCTGGGGTGACAGATCCGTCTATGTTCGTCTGGGGTGACAGATCCGTCTATGTTCGTCTGGGGGTGACAGATCCGTTATGTTCGTCTGGGGGGTGACAGATCCGTCTATGTTCGTCTGGGGGTGACAGATCCGTCTATGTTCGTCTGGGGGTGACAGATCCGTCTATGTTCGTCTGGGGTGACAGATCTAACTATGTTCGTCTGGGGGTGACAGATCCGTCTATGTTCGTCTGGGGTGACAGATCCGTCTATGTTCGTCTGGGGGTGACAGATTCGTTTATGTTCGTCTGGGGGTGACAGATCCGTCTATGTTCGTCTGGGGGTGACAGATTCGTCTATGTTCGTCTGGGGTGACAGATCTGACTATGTCTGGGGGTGACAGATTCGTTTATGTTCGTCTGGGGGTGACAGATCCGTCTATGTTCGTCTGGGGGTGACAGATCTGACTATGTTCGTCTGGGGTGACAGATTTGTTTATGTTCGTCTGGGGTGACAGATCCGTCTATGTTCGTCTGGGGGTGACAGATTCGTCTATGTTCGTCTGGGGGTGACAGATCCGTCTATGTTCATCTGGGGGTGACAGATCCGTCTATGTTCATCTGGGGAGTGACATCTGTCTATGTTCGTCTGGGGGTGAGATCCGTCTATGTTCATCTGGGGTGACAGATCCGTCTATGTTCATCTGGGGGTGACAGATCCGTCTATATATAGTCTGAGGGGACAGATCCGTCTATGTTCATTCAGGGTGACAGATCCGTCTATGTTCATCTGGGGAGTGACATCTGTCTATGTTCGTCTGGGGTGACAGATCCGTCTATGTTCATCTGGGGTGACAGATCCGTCTTGTTCATCTGGGGTGACAGATCCGCTATATATAGTCTGAGGTGACAGATCCGTCTATGTTCATCTGAGGGTGACAGACCGTCTATGTTCATCTGGGGGTGACATCTGTCTATGTTCGTCTGGGGGTGACAGATCCGTCTATGTTCATCTGGGGGTGACAGATCCGTCTATGTTCATCTGGGGTGACAGATCCGTCTATATATACTCTGAGGTGACAGATGCCGTGTGAACAGTGACAAATCATCGCCATTTCGAGGACATGGAATCCTAGCGGTGACAAATGTCTATAATCGGAGGGTGATGGAGGGGAGGGGACGGCCATGTGGTGTGGCATCGATTGCTGACTCTGTTGTTTGGCAAGCAGTCCTTCCTGCATTGTGTGTTCCCCCACCCACCCACCTTGTGCAACCCCCCCCACCTTACTCTCCCTCCCTCCCTCACTTCCACCTGCATTGCCCCGATGACCCGCCACCCTCCTGTCTGCTTCTCCCCCTGCACCATCACTGCTGATTGTCACTGCTCACGGGCACCAGACGTCCACCGCCCCCAGCTGTACCAGCTGTATGTGTGGGGGCGGACGGTCGCTGGCTGAACTGTGGGGGGAGGGGGGGGGGCGGTCGCTGCTTTCTATCGATTTACCCTTACTACCCCTGCCTCCCCCTCCCCCACTTGCTTCCTTCCCTCCTCTCACTCGTCTCTCCTCCTCCCTTCCCCCCAGGTCCACCAGCTGGTCTAGGCCAACACCTCCCCTGGTGCCAGCTGACCCTTTAACATAAAACTCTGACGTGAATGCACAATAACACTCTGCTCTGAATATTGCACTCAATTTTTCTTCCTGGAGCTACACGTGTGTGTCGTGACCAACATATTACAGTCAACGTGTTATAATATTGTTATGATCGTCACTGTTAATTTGTCATGTAGTATACCGAGTAATGCCTGGTTACTATGGCTTGTATGTAAACAGTGTGAGTATTGGATGTTAAGTAGGGAGTAATGTAACCCTTATGATGGTGTTGACGTCGTGGAGTTAGTGGGTGGCTGGCTGGCTGGCTGGCGACATGTAGTAATAATGGGAGGGCGCCGCACTGCCCGGGCTGAGTTGCTCTCCCGCGCGGCGCACACATACCATTCGCACCACCAGCGGGGAAAGGTGGTGTCGGTTACTCAGGGCCAGAAGCTCCAGCACCGGGGTAGGCAGGATCTAGATTCCTACAGCTGGTGGCCCACAGACAGGGAGGCAACAAGTCCGTAAAGGGCCTCCCACACCAGCCCTCCTCAACGTTTTTATGTTTTAACCCGTCAGTATCTTGTTTACCTCGTGTTGACAGCTGGGCGGGACCACGTGTGTTTTTGTTAGTGACCCGGTGTATAACGGTGTGTAAAATTGATGGTGATGAGGAATAGTCAATGACCTTGTGTGTGAGTCATGAAGTGTACCCGCCCGTAGGCTGCGCATGACCAGAAACAATGACAAAAATTGATTTATATGTACCAAGAGGTTCTGAAGAAACAATGGAAACAAATTGATGTATACAGAACCGTGTGAGTGTGTGTGAAAAACCCAGTGACGACTTTATTTATATATACGACTGAGTTTTTATATATTAGATTGCTTTTGGATTTTAATTTTTTTTTTCAAGTGTATACCCAAATGTGATGCCGGTGCTTGCATGACGCCGTATATGAATATGCAAATTGATCATTGTTGCAATTTAGTGTTTCATGGCACTACGAAGTCGGGGTGAGTGGTAAAATTGACACAAGGGGAAGGGGAGGTGAGGGCGGGCCTGGGGGGCGAGGGTGGGCGGGGATGGGCGTGGTAGAGGGCGAGGATTAGAGCCAGTGAAGAAATGACCAATTTGAATCACAAAGTGGAACGAGAGAGTCTTCAGCCGTGACCATAGCGTCCAAGACCATACAAAGACAGTGCGCCTAAGACCAAGAGGAACGTAGTAGCCAACAAAAGACTCACTAGAATAAGAGGAAAAAACAAAAGTGCCGATACAGAAGTTGACAACAAGAGAAAAAACGATTACAAAAGACGACTTGTATTTTCCTCCATCAACTTCACTTCTTAACCGTACAAAGAAGAAAAAGAGTTTGAATACAAGAGTCATTAAGAGTTTGTGCGGGTGGCGACAAGAGTATTAATATTATTGTATTTGTGCGGCGAAAAAGAGCTTTAATACGACCATTGTGTATTGGGCCGGTGTGTTCTCAACTCGTGACGACAACGGTGACAGACCAAGAGCAAAAGAATGTTCCAGGAGGAGAGTGAGGAGGAGGATCTCTTGGTAACTAAAAGTGTCTCGTTGTGGAGGTATGTGTAAGAGATGTGGAGACAGAGAGAGAGACAAACACCTAAACAGAGAGGACTACTTCACCAAGAGTCCTAAGAGTTGTTCAGAGGAGTCCAAAGAGTCGCCAAGAATTGACTCCATTGAGCGACTTTTAAGAGTGACACTTTGGATAGACTCTGAAATACGTAAACCCAACTGAGTGTATGAGAGAGAGAGAGAGAGAGAGAGAGAGAGAGAGAGAGAGAGAGAGAGAGAGAGTTGAACACAAGTAAGAAGAGTTGACAAGGTGCTGTGAAGAGGACAGTACTAGGTGTGTAATGGTGTCCTCACCACTCGCCACCAAATTGTCCTCCTCCTCGCCACCAAACTGTCCTCCTCCTCCTCCTCACCACTCGCCACCAAACTGTCCTCCTCCTCACCACTTGCCACCAAACTGTCTTCCTCCTCCTCACCACTCGCCACCAAGCTGCCTCCTCTCCACCCTCCCTTACCAAACTCCTCCTCACCCTCGCCACCAAACTGTCCTCTCTCCCTCACCCTCGCCACCAAACTGTCCTTCTCCTCACCACTCGCCACCAAACCTCCTCCTCCCCTCCTCCTCACCACACCAAACTCTTCACCAAACTGTCCTCCTCACCACTCACCAAACTGCTCACCCGCCACCAAGTCCACCACTCCCACCCCTCTGTCCTCCTCCTCACCACTCGCCACTTCACAACTGTCCTCCTCCTTCACACTCACCAAACTGTCCTCCTCCACTCGCGGCCCATCGCCACCAAACTGTCCTCCTCCTCAACCACTGTCGCCACCACCAACTGTCCTCCTCCTCTCCTCTCACCATCGTGTCCTCCTCCTCACCCGCCACCTGGACCAACACCTCCGTCCTGTCTGTCCTGCTAGGGGTCACCGGTGTGACCCCCCCACGGTAGAGGCGACAGGGGGAGAGGTGACAACTCTAACTACCTGTCAGTTCTGTCTACCTACCATGATTGCTTCTCCATGGCTGTCTCTCCTCCCTCCTTGTGTCTCCTCCCCACTTGGGCTGTCTCCTCCCCACTTGGCTGTCTCCTCCTCCCCCTTGGCTCCTCCTCTGTCTGTCTCCCATGGCTCTCTTGACTGTCTCCTCCCCATCTCCCCAGGGCTGTCTCCTCCCACGGCTGTTTCTGTCTCCTCCCCAGCTGTCTCCTCCCCACAGCTGTCTCCTCCCCACGGCTGTCTCCTCCCCCTTCCTCCTCCCCTCAGCTGTCTCCTCCCACGGCTGTCTCCTCCCGGCTGGGCTGTCTCCTCCCCACTCTGTCCACAGCCGGCTGTCTCCTCCCCACAGCTGTCTCCTCCCAGCTGTCTCCTCCCACAGCTGTCTCCTCCCACAGGCTGTCTCCTCTTCCTCCCCACGGATAGTTCTCTTTGTCTCCAGTCAGTTCTCTGGTGTGTGGAGAAAGAAAGAGATTTACAAGAGAAAACTCTCTTGTTCTCTTTACTCTCTTCTATTTTTTATCACCTGAAAGATTGGGCTCTGTGGCTCTATTTTTATTTCTTTACGAAACACCCTTGGATCACACCTGAAGATAGACACCCAGCTTATTTCACCTGAAGAATAGACACCCCAGCTTCTTTCACAGAATAGACACCACCCAACAGCTATTTCAC